CCTTTTCCATCTGTCGGTTTAATGTCGAATCTAACAATATCTACATATTCATAGAGCATAGAGGAATAATAAAGAGCACTTCTTTACTTATATTACCATGCAATTCTATTTTCAATCGTAAAAACTAAAAGGGATGCCGGTGAGCCATGGTCCTTTAATTGACTATATAGAAGAGCCTGACCCAATAAACTTACTTATGTCTTTTGCGTATTATCATAACCATGGCAACAATCCCACCGGCAAGGAATGCGATTCCAAAAGCTGTCGCAATACCTAGCACCATAGCAGGAGAGTTTTCAGTTGGTGAGTTCTTTGTTTGAGTTGTGGTTGGTAAAGTGGAAATGACCTGCAATAATGAAAAGCAAACTGATATTCGAGCCAAATAACTTTTAAGTTAAAAACATTATTGTTTTATCATATGACCCGTATTTCGGCCCTACGCGCGCTCTTAAAAAAACCTTTGGGAAATGTTCAGGCGATGGGGGCCGAATGCCTTTTCGCGACAGGGCCGTGCAAACCCGTATCTTTCCGGCTTGAAGTTCCGCGTGCTTTTATTTATTATTTTTTTTTTTTTACATTAAAAAACGCTGTCATATGATAAAATGCTTATTGACTGAGTTAGGTCGGGCCGTACGGGAAAATATTTGGCTCTCGGTCATTTGTACGCTGTCATATGATAAAATGCTTATTGACTGAGTTAGGTCGGGCCGTACGGGAAAATATTTGGCTCTCGGTCATTTGTACGGATCTCGCTAGGCTCGTTCCATACGGCATAACCTTTCGAGCCAAATATTTTCCCGTACGGCCCTCCCACTCAGTCAATAAGTACATAGTTTTCTATTTGTCTTCCTTTCGTCAGTACATAAATAACATCATTGTCATGAAATAGGCWTTTTACTTTTATATGTACAATGTATATATTTTAAAAAATCATGAAATAGGAAATGTTCAGCGACGCCATTTTGTGCAGCAAAGCATGATGGTAGTTGTAGTCCTCGTATTTTTTCTTGTCCTTCTGAAATATTTTCCCTTTTCTTAGCTACAAATGGATTTTGTTTTGCCATTTATACAAAAAAAGCGTTAAAAAGGATTTCAAGGAAATCATTGATTTTAGAGTCTTTAATAAGTGTGAGGACTACGACTACCATCATGCTTTGCTGCACAAAATAACTTTACTGAACATTGCCTRTACTGCCTGATTTCATACCTTAGAGGAGTTTMTTTTSTGTTCTGTTTTMRAAGRCATTGCGGTAGACAACTTTATTATATGCTTGGTWGGTAAAACAGCTGATGCGACTGGACCTTGAATCATATCAGATAGTTTACGCTAGTTGACAATCTTAATTCTTTGAAACAAGCAATTGTCTTATTCACAGGAATATAATTAATTGATTTTAATTCTCGCGGGATATCTGTGCTTTTGCAGTTTTGGGCTTCATTTATCGAATCTATTCCGATAGCCGATTTGCGAATTTCGCCTCACTAGTCAAACACAATCAAGACGAGGCACCATGCATAAAGCTCAGTCAATACTCCATTTTCGAATTTTCTTTGTGCAAGCTTAGCTTCAGTCAAGCATAAATTAAACGCTAATTATTTACATATCTCCACACATTGCCAATACAAGTGATAAGGGTAATCTCACAGAAAAGTCTCTAAAGACTTGCTGAGATTTTCCTGCCATATAYATTATACATTGTAATTATAAAACAAAAAACAAGAGGCGAATAAAATATTATTGTTATTAGTTATGATTACTTACAACGTAGTTTACCATTCATCTTAAACAGAAGACAAGTATTTGTACATGTGAAATGAAGACTGACCATTCGACCAAGAAAAACGGATGGTACTTGATCTGATACCTGAAAGTCAATAAAGTAATGAAACTTACCATTGGTGGGTCCTTTACGCCTGATCCCCACTATGACCTCACATGACAWTATAGCAATCAATTGTTTTAAACATTGAAAAATCAATTTGCGATTAAGTCGTTGATAATTTCTTAAATTCATTTCGATTTGAAAGGAAGGTTGGGAAGGGGTCAAAGGGCAGCACCCTGCCGTCAAAACATATATGAAAAGTCAAAACATACGCCATGTAGGTACAATTCAAAAGAAGGTGCTATTGAACTGTCATAAATTTGAATTATATTTTCATGATTTGTGACTATTGGCCATTTCGACGTTGCGCAGGGGACTGGGCACTAATCAAAGAAATATTGATCTATTCACGAAACAAACCCCACCAGTTGAAAGGACACCCAAAAATTAGTATATATACCAAGTTTCAAAACGTTTGGATAAAAACTAGCTGAACAGTATTTATTTCTAGTTTCATCAAATTAACAGAGAATGTATTGTTTTGGGGGACGCGGTCAAAATCCCCATACATTCTCTGTAAATTGCACGGCTTCTCATTAATTGVATATTTGTCCAAATGATCTGTAACTTGGAACCTACACTAAAGTCGATAAAGTCTTTTTAGCGATATGGTTAGTTTTTCGATTGGCTCAATACGACAGAAATTACAATTCATTTTATAACATAAAAATGGCTTATACTTTGCGTTGTGTATTACCTTCATAAAGAATCTATTCCATGGTTTTCCAGGTAAATACTCCGGCCATGGAATCAAAATGAACGCCTTTGATACACTACCCGAAGTGCCCAGCCCATTCCAAGTGCCATTACACTCTTGGTAGCGAGATTTAGAATAATCAATTCGACATAAAATTGAAGGAAAGAGAATTTTATAGGGGGTCGATTTGGATATCAACACCTTCACGGAGGACAATGGATCTTCTCCTTCAAAGAAAGCCTGACAACCTGGAAAAATGAAAGTAGACACATGATAACTAAGCGATTTTGAGCTGGAGCTCCAGTAAGGATAGCCTGCTTACAGGCATTCCTGCTAGGGGGCCGAGAAGGAATGGAGAGGGGAGCGGAAGGGAGCTCCTCCCCATTGCCTCTCGGCCCCCAAGCAGGAACGCCGGTAAGCAAGCTACAGTAAGGATCGTTTACACTAGACTCCTTCGCAGGCAACTCTACTCTGTGGAATTCCTGTGTTAAGGCAAAAAAAGCTACCGGAGGGGGAGGGGGCTAGGAAGGAAGGAAAAGAAGAAGGAGTTACTCCTCTTATTCGTTGTTTCTAAAGTCTCGACACCAGTTCTTCTCGGTCAAGATTATGAACACAGGAAGACCAAGAAGAGAAAAATGTCCGTTTCCGTTGCAGGGCAGCCTGCGAAGGAGGCTACGTTTACACTTGTANTTTTTTCAAAATAAGAACCTGTCTTAGAATTTTAGCCTAAAATGGTTCTTATGTGAAGGGTGCTTAAAAATGCCTAACAGGTTCTTACATGTTAAGTTCTTATACGCGGGTTTTTGCTGTATTCCAGAACGACCACGCCACATAAAGATGGGATCGAATTACCTGACTGCACGGAACATGTGCACGAACCTCATCGGTATTCGGGACAACCTACTTCGGAAACGATGCTTTTCCGAATATTCTGCAGTTAAAATTAGTGGTCATTAGTGCTTTTTAGATACTTCTTTTACAGAACAAGTAAAAATGATTTTAGCTCAAATTTAAATGCATCATATTATAGTATCCCGATTTTTTTCTCTTGAGCCGYGAGCCTMMCASTTTGAGCCCAGARYCCAACCAAGATTTCGGAATTGAGCCCGGCCATTTGAGCAATGAGCCCTGAGCCCATATACCATGTTACGAGTCTGTTTTGAACTGTCATTAATTTGAATTATATTTTCATAATTTGTGACTACTTTGCGTTGTGTATTACCTTCATAAAGAATCTATTCGATGGTTTTCCAGGTAAATTCTCCCGCAATGGAAGCAAAATGAACACCTTTGATGCACTACCCGAAGTGCCCAGCCTATTCCAAGTGCCATTACACTCTTGGTAGCGAGATTTAGAATAATCAATTCGACATGAAATTGAAGGAAAAAGAATTTTATAGCGGTTCGATTTGGTTAACACCTTCACGGAGGACAATGGATCTTCTCCTTCAAAGAAAGCGTGACAACCTTGTAAAATGAAAATAGACACGTGATAATTAAGCGATTTTGAGCTGGAGCTCCAGTAAGGATAGCCTGCTTACAGGCATTCCTGCTGGGGGGCCGAGAAGGAATGGAGAGGGGAGCGGGAGAGAACTCCTCCCCATTGCCTCTCGGCCCCCAAGCAGGAACGCCAGTAAGCAAGCTACAGTAAGGACCGTTTACACTAGCCTCCTTCGCAGACAACTCTACTCTGTGGAATTCCTGTGTTAAGGCTAAAAAAGCTACCGGAGGGGGAGGGGGCTAGGAAGGAAGGAAAAGAAGAAGGAGTTACTCCTCTTATTCGTTGTTYCTAAAGTCTCGACACCAGTTCTTCTCGGTCAAGATTATGAACACAGGAAGACCAAGAAGAGAAAAATGTCCGTTTCCGTTGCAGGGCAGCCTGCGAAGGAGGCTACGTTTACACTTGTAGCGCGACAAGCCCTTATTTGCTCTCCCACAAAAAAAAAACAGCCCTGTGATTTCGTTTTTTATGCACCAGAGCACAAGACACCGAAATATGGAAATGATGTATTGAAAATCACGTCCTTTGAGATCATAGAAGCCAGTGAAAAGGCTTTAGTTTTGTTTATGACGTCAACCTTTCCGTACTCTGTACTTACTGTTGTAATTGATTAGCATGAATTAATGTTATTCTAAACATAACTTTATAAACATTTCAGTTATGTTGCGCTATCTAAACAAGTATTTTAAACGGAATGTGTCTAAACGTCGGTAATAGATCGCGATAAAGAGAAATAATAAAAAATTACGTGTAGCAGTATTTTGCGTAAAGCTTTTACGCTGAAGGAGCAAGCGCTTTTGAGTTGGCCCAAGGGATTTGGAACCTTGATTTCATAGATGGTTTTGGTAAGGTGTTATTGATGAAATTATGTACAGCAATATGAAGAAATTATGATCATTTTGACTCTATTTCAAGTATATATATATAGAATATATCAAAATTAAATTAATAATCGCTGATATGTATTTGAAGTTGTATAGCTCTAGTACTTTGTGAAGAAATATATCAAATCAAATATCATTGGCGATGATATATCATAGTTTCTGATATATTTTATATGTACTTGAAATATGACAGTTATGAGTTAAAAGGATCAGAGTTTSTGCATATCACTGTATATCATCTAGTAATATTATGTTTTTGATATACATGTTCAACAGTTTTAATATAACATGCTCTTATTCTCTTAGCTTAAGAAATTCTATTGTCATGATGCTTCAGATTTGGTGTTTTAGCTCAGGAGAGGTATGGAACTCGTGATGATCTTTGTTTAYATAAACAATACATCGAGTATTACGAAAATTATCTCTAGAAAATCGAAGAATTTAGCATTAAAATTGATGTTGAATAAACCTTTTCAAGTAACTTTTCAAGTAATTCACCATGTAGCCCAGTTATYGGAAAGAAGATTTCGCMATCAACAACTTATTGAAATTGAAATTCATACCTGACTGTAGTCGTAATTTTGTGTTATTCTGACAAGTCCATGTTCGATTGTARAGGCCAAAAGTCGTGAATTCCTTGTCACAAGAGCATTCGCATCCTGTCATATTTGACTTTCGCCGTCCGTTCTTCGACTTGCAATCCAAATAACTCGATTCTTGACATACGAAGTTATTATTTACAATTTCAAATCTGTCATGACCTTCATTTTCTAAAGCACGAGTTATAACATAACTCTTAGCAAAACATATGATCAGAAACTCAGCAAAAATCAAGCTAATAATTATAAGCACGTTTTGCATATCCCTGTAGTGTTATCCTCTTCAATAACCAGGAATATAAGATAATATGAAAATAAGAATGTGAAGTTGATCTCTTCTATGGTTTGTTTGACCGGAAGGGAGGGTTTCAGTTTTCATGCTGACACCATCCTGGCATATTCATCAATTACATTCTAATTTGATCATGCCGATTTCCTTCAATATCGACGTCAAAGGAAAATCTTAACCGTAGATTAATCTTAGTATCAACAGAATGATCACGAAATAGCATAGAATAGATAATACATCTGCGCATTTTATTTATTCCTGACTCTGCCCAAAACTTTTGAAAGAATTACTGCTGTGACAAAATCCGTGACACTCAATCGTCGCCGTAACTATACGTTTGTTGTACTATCTTTTTTCACAACTAATTGTAAAGACGTTGTCATATAAATAGAACATTTTTTAGAAAAAAATAATAAATCAAAAATTTAAACAAAAGAAAGGCTTCAGCCTGAGCGATCTTCTTTTTCCTTATTGAATTCATTCTATTTTTAAATTAAAATATTCCTTTTTTCTATGACAGCGTGTTTATTAGTGTATACATAACTATATTCAACTTGCGTCACTTCCGTAAAGAAATCCGGATATGATGTAAATAACTAAAGTAAAACTCAAATGATTACGATTGAAGGAAAAAGTAGCTGATAACTATAAATTCCCTTTGCTTTTTGAATTGCTTATAATCCCTGAGCTTTTTAAGGAATAGAAAAAAACAGTTTCCCGTGTATACCCTGAAAAAAAAAAAAAAAAAAAAAACACGCCGGAAATCATTGCTGATTTTCTTGGGTTAAAAAGCTTGCATAATAAAAGTGAAAAAAGCTAAATGACCAGTCATATTCTATGTATGGCATAAATCTGGAAAAGATAACCCATTAAAAAATTGTGGCGGGAAATCCATACAATCGACATACAACGATAATGTTTGCTATGTGTTATGGAAACTTGAAGGCTTTTAGTTGGGATCGGATCTTACGCCGTGGAACAGCTTGTGCTCGGAGCTTGTAGACAGGCTGAGTCTCGAATTACACTAATACATTTTGAAATCCAGTGGAAGTTACCGAGTGATTGCACTGTGTAGATTTACAGACATCTGTCATTAATATTCTCACACAGTCACTCAAAGCTATAATTAAGGTTTGTTATAAGAGCTTATCGTATTTTTTCTCTTTTTTTAAAGCCAAAGCATGCTTCTTTTTGAAGATGCGACAAACATATCTGGGTTTCAGTCTTCGTTATGGAAGGAATTGTTACCATAATATGCAACACATTTGGTTTTGTCATCCTTGCAAAAAGGTCTCGTTATTTCAAACCATGCCTTCTGCTTGCAAACCAATGCTTTGCTGACTTTTGTTGGAACTGTAACAAATAAAGTATGGTCATTATATTACATTAGATTAGGCAGAAACGTCTCTTGCACTAGAAAATTTATCCATTTGCTGCTATGGAACCTTTCACACTTGATGTATCGATGAGTTGTCTTGCTGTCATCGCTCTTGAGAGATTTTATGCAGTATTCTGGCCATTTTGTCAACGTTTTCTGCCGAAAAAGTACTATAGGTATGCAATGATAACATCATGGTGTCTTAGTATAATGACAAGCTTAGAGTCCATATCACAAGCCCGCCATTTTGAATGGTTAAATACAATGTATCATGGGATATATATCTCCCTTTCTTCATCAAAACAAATCGCTAAAATCGTAAAAATACTAATTAGTTTCGATTTTTCCACATACAAAATATAATATGTTTCTTTTCATTTTTGCTTGATTTGCCTAGTAAATTGAAATTCTTGATTAACTGTACATTTTTTGGAGGTTTTTCTTGCTGTATTTCCTTGCATGTTGATATTTGTTTGTTTTTTCGCTTTTGAGATTAACTACAATATCAATATTTCCCAATGTTTTTCGAAAACTGAGTCTACGTTACAGACAACTGGAGCACTGACATCGTTTTTCACTTAGTGTTTACTCATTTATCAATCCCAAAATGCACTGCGTCACAAGGCTTTCCGCGGGTTGCGATATGGACTATAGTTGGCAAGTGTTGAAAAACTGGCCCAGTAACGTTAATGAGACTTTCTACACTTGCTTTTCTTGCCAATGTGTTCAACTGTAGTCATTCTTTTTGCCTGCTACATTGCTATCTACATAAAACTAAAATATTTTCCAGTTTTTCAAAGTGACTGCCAAGCCAGGAAACAAGCTAAACTCTGTGGAACGGTATTTATCGCCTCGGCTAAGCCGTTTGTTACAAATCAATGTTGCCGTTTGCTACCTCATACCTTGCAGCACAGCATCAAATGTAAAACTTGTGTATCCGATCATATGTAACAACGCTATATTTTAACAATTTTCATACATTTCAATATTTCTTTAAGTCATAATTCATTATTGAATTTTGTACAAACTTGTACAACAAAAGAGCTTTCCTTCTTAGAGCACCAACTTCAGTTGACAAAAGTTACCCAAAACATATCTGGTAACTATAAGTGAAATACAGGCAATTTCATTGGTCAATCTTACGGGATAGTTTTTCATATTTCTTTACATTTTATTCTGGATGTGAGTTTTATTATTACTTCATAATAGATGCTCATATTGACAAAAGAGAAGTTGACCTTGTTACGTGATTGCAATGTAAGTTTGGCGTTAAACCAGTTTTGTAAGGTGTTGTCCAGGCACCTAAGTGCGCAGGAACAAAAAGTTAATCAAATGTATTTATTAATAAATGTTCACTAATAGCGTCATCTTCTTTTATTCAACCAGAAATCTCTAAAAACAGCTATCGGCCAAAACTAACTTCACAAAAAGTTTCGTAGTACCTTATACTATCAATACGACACAGTAACTAAGAATTTTGATTCCGAGTCATACAAGAATTATTTCTTACAAACTCCATTCGTTTATCCTGTAAACAGAAGTTAATGAGTAGTTCATATCTTTGACAAATAGCTTTCGCCGAGACTTCAAAAAATCTTGTAACAGCCATAAACTTTACAAATGTAAATCACTCCAACATAATGATTTTCGTACGTATTGATATTGAGAGAGTAAAGGTCCTCTTGGAAATAAACATCTTGAAGGTACTTCGTCGTGAGACTTGACTACTAAAGCTAGCAACTCCCTTACACATATTTTCCAAGCTTCAATATTTTGCCTTTTTTTAATTCTTTCGTCAACTTTTTGGTTTATGCATGTTTTCCAGAGTTTGCTTAACACTTCARAGATCTCATACGCTCCAAGTTCAAGTTGTTTGGTCAGAAACAGCTTTTTGGCAGATAGAGACAATCATTGTCAACATATATTTCAACAATTGACATTTTTACTAAAAATGCAGTCACTATCATTCTACATTCCTGGACAAAAAGGTTGACAAAAATTAAMCAAAAAAGTTCTACATAACACTTATTCCACTTCCTCCCCTACCTCAAAATAATGCTGTTGGCAACCAAATATCATTCAGAAAACGTATGTGATATTCGGAACACAACTCTGAGCGATGGGATGCATGGATATAAGCAAATGTACAAATTCTGCGCAATATCTTCGCAACATTTTTCGATTTTACAACAATTGTCATCTCTTTTTATCTAATATTGTTGGTCTATTTTTGGACATATACTTGAAGAAACGTTGTCATAGGAAATAGAACATTTGAATTTAGTAAAAAGGAATAAATTAAAACAAGACAAAAGAGAGCGTTCAGCCTCAGTGATATTCCTTTGTCTTTTTAATTTATTCTTTTTTTACTAAAGACAAATGTCCTATTTTCTATGACAACGTTTCTGCAAGTAGGTGTATATCAGTGACATTGTTTTAGTATCGCTATAGAATGCTTAAGGTCTAGGCACTAAGCAAGGAATTCTATCGTGCACAGCATTTCTCATGACAAGTAGAAATTTATCATCGAGATATTTAAGCTTGATTGGTTATCAATTCTAAGTTTTTCCTTTGCATTGCTGCGCGCGCGCATTGTGTTTCCATTCTTTCGATGACGAACTTTTTTTTACTTTAACSTTGTCACCCTGAAGGTGTGTCTACTTAGGGAARAAGCCTTCGGCTCGAATCTTTATACCTGATAAAACACTCTCTCTCGTGTTTTAAACTATTCATAAACAATWACACGAGAGGGCTCTATAATGTGGTTGGTTAGGATTCTATGCAAAAATTGATAACAATGTAAAATGGCATTTTGGAGCGATTCGGCAATATGGTTCGAGCGATGGTATAGATACTAGGCCTGATAACAATCACTGTTCTAGAAAGATTTTCAGCAGTGTTATTCAAGAAAACAAAACAATAATTTGATCCATTAGATATGGTTGCTCTGCTATGTGAGAGCTACTGGTGAGCGGGAKATTGTGATTATGCGGAGACGGTTGATCAGTTCTATGATTTTGCGCGCTAATTTAAGCACACACAGACGGATTGAGATAACTCTAGAAAACATGTAGATAACTTAGTTTACTTCAGGAAGGCATGTTGTGTAATACGCTCAAAGCAACATTTCTTTCGACTTCCAAGTAATTATTTTTAAACAATTGAGGAAGGATTAGGTAAAACGTCATAGTCCAGAAAAGAAATTAATATTCAATCGATTATAAAATCATCATATAATAATGTCGACTTGCAAATGAAAAGTAGCGGGAACAACGCAGCTTGTATTAAAGTGGTAAATCAACATCTAAAAAGCGGGAAATAAAATTGCAAAAAAGGGGGGGATCAACTCATATCTTGAGTGACTTCAGAGACTGATCTTACTAATTTGGATGCACATTGTTCTTGAACTTATAAAAACAGGAAAACCTTTGTTTTAGTCCTATAGCACTTTGTCTTTGATTGTARATTTTAAGTTAGGCAATAATGTTCTGTCAAAATGCAATTTCGTCGTAAGTTATTGTATTGGATCCTCATAAGCAAACTAATCCGATTGAAGTTGTTTAAGTAGTAGCGGTCTTGGTTTTAGAAAAAGCGAACGATATCGGGAAATCAACTTGTTTATTAAAATAAATCGAATATTAAAGTTGACATGTACAATACAATTTGTATATTTTAATGAGAGAATATAGAGTCTGAAAGTATATATTTTAACTGTTTCGCTTTGAAGCTATATTACCTAGTATAATTAACTTTTTTTAGCCCTTTGTCAGTTTATCCATTTTGCATCAGCCTATGTTCCATACATATTTGCCTTTTAATCAGTGTTTAGTCAGCAATATCAAAAGTAATTCTCGCCGGCTTGGTTGCCTTAAAGGTTTTCTTATCGGCGGCCTATTGGCGGGCAATGAGGGCATGGTCGTGGAAATCGCTTTCTTGGCCATGGCAATTGGAATCTCTTGACACTTTGCTGTCCTTCACAATTAGCAATTTTATGACATTTTCCATCGGAACCCTCTTTGTAGCATTTTGCGCAACCCCCTTCAATTATCCTTGCTTCAGCAGGGAAAACCACGGCAAGGAGTAAAATTCCACAAAGGAATATTGTCTTCATATCCTTGAAAGTGATAAAATAAACATTATGATATTAAGGCCTCCATCTTGGATTTGACATTTTGCGACTTTCTGGGAGATATTTATCCTAGAATACCATTTAGAGTTAGATAGAGTGGTAATTATTTTCTATGGTAATKATTTCGTAGCAGTATGCGTATCCTAAAATTATAGCTGCTTGAAGCTTTCTGGCTGAGTGTGGTAGCGGGTTTAGTGCGCACTAGCTTTCATGATCATCCTTAAATTTTCTTTCATGTGAAATATGCATTTCAAAATTTCAGAGCTTGCTATAGACAAAAAAACAAGTGTGTTGTCTGTCGTGCTAATACACTTCAACTTAAAAAGCAATACTTTTATAAGCAATATTTTTTCGGTCGCTAGCGGACATTTCGTGTCTTGCGCTGCGAAACGCAAACAAAAATAAAGCTAAGCTGAAAACATTGTTAGTAATATTTACGTTGATAAACTTCTTACCATAGAGTAGCAATGCATGSAGTTCTCTTCACTGAACAATAAATGGTAACAACCTGTTGATCAAAACAACAGCTCCTTTTGAAGCAGTGACGAGCCAATCAGGACTTAGCTATAATTTTATGAGCGAGAAGTGTTTATACTCAGGAATGCATGGTTGAATTGCTTACTGATTTTCGCGCTTTTAATCGACA